AAAGTGGGTTAACTGGATAAACATTTGCATTTACTGTATGAAGGGAAATGGGACACTTATTTTTTTATTATTACTACTTTATTATTTTTTCTTTTGAAATTTTGCACCCTGAAAAATTTTGCTTATGTGTTCCCACACACACCACATCATCAGTATTGTAATAATCAGGAAAGCATGATCAATCGAATGTCAGGGGTTCTCTAACTGAAACAACATTAGTAATCTACTTGTTTACAAATGACAAGTCATCCTTAACACTTCTATAAAAGCTTCCAACCAACACCTCCCACCCCAAGAAAGAAATGCTAAAAATAAACTGGAATGTTGATAAACAAATTGAAAAACAGTAGACAAATTAATAACACTAACAACCATTAAGAGAAAGAGGATTTGCTACAGGTTTTTATTTCTTTAATGAATTAAAATGTAATACTAACAAGTTTTTCCCTTCAATTTATTAATTTCAAGCAAACATACATTTTCAGGTAATAAAGTCTGAAAGTAAAATAATAAACTAAAAACTTCATTTATTGAATAAAGATTATATATTATGAAAAAGAATAAAACCATAGATCTTGTAGGTACTTAAAATGTACTTGTGGTTACTTAGCAATGAATATACACAGGAAAAAACAAATATTTTGGGGAAATATATTTGATAATGTAGTTAAGATATTGTAAACAAAATTATATTAAAAGTAACATAAGAAGGATACAATAATAAAATACATTCTGAAATGAAATACAATTATATATAAAAATACAAAATAAATTATTTCAAAACAAACTTTATCAGTGTCATTTTAGCTATAATGTCATTCAGTGAGCATAGAGTTAAACAACTCAAATATTGCCTAAGGTATCTTTGCAATAATCCTCAACTGTAATAATTGGTTTCATTTAAATAAATAATGAAAAAGTTTGATTACTGATGACACTAAACATTATGAAACATACATAAAAACAAAACTTGATTTTGAAAAAAAAATACGCACCTAAACTTTTTAAAGAAGGAGAATTCTATCATGAGATTCAACATGAAAAAGAAAACACCCAACATGAAGAGAGAAAAGAGATTTCTTCCAACTTTATCCCATGTAAATGGATTCATATACCATTTCTCACCTACAACAAAATAAAAGGTTTTCAAATAAACAATACATTTATTTTTGTAGACAATTTTTTAAGAAGCTTCGTTTTTTAAATTCACTGATGACAGTCATCCATGATAAGCATATAGTTAACAATGAAATTACATTTATCAATAACTAATTTTATTTTTTATTATCCAAAGAATTTGGGTTAGTATTTTCATTCTTCCTGTTTTTATCATTCCTTTTTAGTAGCTGATATATTCATCAACCTTCCTTATCTTTCCTTTCATTCAGCATTTTCTTTTCTTACTCTTTGGTAATTTTATATCTCAAACTATAAAAGAATAAATCTATATACTTGACAAAAGACAAAGAACATATGACTGGAAATAGTAATAAAGTTAGCAAAGATGAGAATGTTACATCACCAAAAAAATGTATTGCTGAGATTTTCAGAAAATATCTGATTCATTATTGTACCAGAAAATCAATATTAGCAATTATTTATAATAATATATAAAAATGAAAATGAATTAGCTACATTTCATTTAAAGTATATTAATAATAATTTTTAGTATTTATTGTTATAAATTTTACAAGCATAATCATTCCTGGCAAAACTTACCAAATTTAGAACTAACATCAGACAGCAATTGATCCTGAGCCATTTGTACAAGGCCTCTTCCAAAACAATATTGGGGCAGCAATAGAAATACCTTCTTCAAAATATCATTTATATGTTTCAGTTCCTGATATGAAATAAGAAAGAAAATAATTTGCATCTTATTTTTTTTTTTATTCTGTTATCACTTACTGTATTTCCTCTCATATAAACGCACACACACATTTTCTATCAAAATTTCTCAAAATCTTAAAATTTTACTTCAAATTTAATCCTGCACTACAAAAGTCAAAGTTTAAAAAAGATCTAACTTTATGTGATTGTTACTCACATACCTACTGTTTGCCAGAATTTCCTCTGGACAACCTTAAAATTAAATGTATTTCCTCATCAATAATTACCTAATCATATCAAGTCATTTATGAAAGTCCACCATAATCCATCAGCTGTGTGTGTCTTTTTAATAATATCACTCCCAGTTTCATGAACCAAGATGGTAAAGACACAAAAGTCGAACTTATTCTAGGAAACAGGAGGAATCATTCATGGGGGTGTTGAGTTAGTCGCTGTGCATAGCAACATTCTAATTACATACAAGCCCTCTGGGATTAGTTGTTCCCAATTCTCTAAAGCTACCTCTTTATCAGCAGCCGCTAGTTGAACGATTTTCCAAATTATTCTGTTATATACCTCTTGCATTGGCCATTACCTTGAGGGCCATATGGGGTTGTTCTACTTACAAATACTTTTTATTCTTTGTAGGAACCACCATACACATTCAAACATAAATATGAATGAATATACATGGGTAGCCCGAAGATGTCAAAAACTGAGCAAAGTGCTTGTATGATTCGTTGTAGAGGATACATCGGGCCAGGGAAAAAGGAAACTGCAAATACTCCTCAATTATTGTCAGCATATATTTGTTAGGAGTTTTTACAGAAGCTATCCTGCTTTCCACATGCATAACATTTATCTCTTCTAGCAGGATATAATGACCTTGCATGTCTCTTGCCTCACAGAAAAAATGTGTGTTTAGCTGAGGCTGATATTTTTGGAGAGCCTAGCATTTCATACAATTGGGAGGTCAAGATAGGTGGAGAGGTCTCTGACATTACTGCAACTGTATTGTAATTTTTTAGCATTTTGTTCTGATAAATCTAGTACTCTTGCCTGGTCATAGACCTGCTGTAATGCCAAGGTGTTGTTTTCAAGTATTCTTTGTCAGATATCCGTGGACTGTAGCCCATTTATGAAAGCATCTTGGATCAATTCAGCTTGATATTGTTCTGCTGATACCAAAGAAAACAAACAGTTCTTACTTAGTTTTATCAAGGCTTGATAAAATCTATCAATAGAGTCTGAGGGCAGTTGATGCCTTGTAGCCAGTAAGTGTCTAAAGATCATTTCATTTTTCTTTTTAATATAGATCCTGTCCAGTATTGTTAAAGCCTCTTTGTAGGAAGATGCATCTGCAAAATACTCATAAACTTGTGCTGAGACATATTTGGTGACATAGTGTAGCTTATTAGAACTTTGGTCACAGTATGTGCTCAAGAAGTTCATGAAAGTTACTCTCCAGTGATGATATTCCAGTTTGGCATCAGATGTGTTGGGGTCAATAATAAAAATAGGGTTAACAACGAGAGTATATTAAGTTGTAATAGAATTGTTCTAGGCAATATGTATCACTTATCAGTAAGCTTTAATATACTCTCTATTTACCAACCTCTTCACAAGGCAAGATGTGGCACAAGGCCAGTTTTTAACGTGGGGCATTCCGAGCATGTAAGCTTGGGCAAAAATTGCTCATAGACCCTGTATACACAAGGTCAGGTTTGTCTACCTCACCAAACAAGACTCTCCCCTTATATTAGCAGAGCTCTCCTGAATATATGCATTCAGGAGAGATCCATTAATGTGGGAGATGGATGATACCACAATCATAAATAAAAAATTATGATCTAAAAATTATAAAAGATTCAAAAAATATTGACCACTCCTTTATTGACTGCTAAATGCTATTGTATCTTTCTGCTTGTTTATTACTGTAATAAATTTATGTTTCAATTAAATTAACTTAAGTCATGGAAAGGTTTATCAATGATTTGTATATGGATTCTACCTGATCATCAGTTTGCAGCATTTCCAAGATAAAAGTAGCCAATGTAGATACAGTGCCAAGAAATACATTAGCACAAGACAGTGATACAAATGCTGTACTTGGAATGTCAAACAAACGTGCAAATGGATACATCATAGGAATAATGGCCCACCTAAAAAATAGAAAATAAAAAATTGTGAACAAGTAATAGATATAAATAAACAGTTATTAAGGAGGTCAGTGGTGAACTATTTGAAATGCATAAATTAGTAAAAGCAGAGCATATTTTACATGTAATTCCCTAAATATTATTAGAGTATAAATATATTAATAAAACAATATTTATGATACTTGTTTCTTTTTAATATTTTGTGCCCAAAATATTTGCAACTGTTATATGAAAGAAGGTTCATTTTAAGTTTCCATGATATAAAGCTATAAGATATCCTATCAGATGAAAAATTAAATTTAAGTCATCTAATAATAATTATTATTGCTCTTAAGATTTATTTAGATGCTATTTAATAGATGAAACCAAAACAATGTAATTATCAGCAATTGTAAATAACTTAAATTTATTTACCCATACAGAAAGAGCAATGCTATTAAGCAAGGTAAATTAGTACTGGAAACGTATGCCTTTTCATTGAAGGCTAGGAAAATCAAGACGCACAAAATGGCTGGAATACAGTAATTCACCTATAAAGAGATGATAACATTTAGTTAATCATAATGTACAAAAACTGAAAAGCAAACAATAACTGAGATATCTACTCTTTATGGTTTAAAAACCAGGATTTTGTTTCAGTAAAGGCTCTCATTTTTGTGACTTTTATCATGTGATCTAACTAGAATTTTAAAAAATACTATTGACATATCCTGTATTTATTTGTATCTCCACAAAAGTAGATGTTGGTTTAATGTAGAGCTACACAAATACACATTTGAATAAATACAAAAATTGCCCATTCCTTACAGTTTTTACAATAAAGGATGATCTACAATCTGCTCTTCTTAGCACAATGGGGAGATGCTGCATTGGAGTTGGAATCTCCAAGAGCCAGATATGCTTTATTCACATAAAGATGCTAAATGACTGATCCTAGCTAAATATATTAGAATAAAAATTAAAATTCTATTAATTTTATTTTTGTAAAATTATTTAACAGCATCATTACATACTGTTCCTTCATTTTTATTCTTATTTTTAAGTAAATTTATTTTTACATCAAAATCAGTATTTCATATACAAAAAAAATAATTTGGAATTATTGCTAAAAACTAGAAAAACTTTAAAGAAGTCTTGCCAAACATAATTTCTGAAAACACTGAAGTTTGTACATGAATAACAGTGGAAGAAAATAAAATAAGAGATATAACTTAATAAACAACAATAAGCAAAGAAATTTTTAAAGAATAAAGAAAATATATCAAGTGCTAACCCATACTTACAAGATCCCATAAAATTGTTGCTATCCAATATACTAAAGCAGTGATTCCACTGACAAACTGTAAGTGTTTAGCATTTGTTACTCGTTCTTCAATTAGGAATAAAGTGAAACTGGCTGGCACAAAGGACAATGCAAACATTACACAAATTGCTATCAATACATCAACGACATTTGCAACTCTGTTGAAAAATAGAAAAATTGCTAAAAGTATGCAAAAGACATTTTAATAATAACAATTGTCAACATCTCAAAATAAAATAGAACTAGTAATCACAGATTAAATCAACATAATAATTATGACAAATATTTTATTTACTGATTATTTACAAGCCATGTACATTATGCAGAGGTGATTCATCATTACAAATAAAAAAGTATATATAATTTCAAGTGTTAATTTGAAATTTTATATATAGTGAGCTAATATTTTTTCAACTTAAATAGTAAAATAAATTATATTTAAATAACTATTTTTACAATTTTTTTACAATCTATATATAAATAAAATATATTTAAAATAAATATTCACTCAATAAATAAAATATATCTTTATTATAAACATTCTCAATAGAGAAAGATAACAAGTTTTAAAATATCTTCATTCACAATCAATATTACTTACACGTTTTCTTCATTTAACTGCTTCTTTGTTAAAGCCATTGGATGATTGATTGTAGTAATACCATAGTTGGAGGGATTAGCTTCTGAAGGGAGGTAACTCCGTAGAATAATGTTATTCATTACATTCAAGTATATTACAATTGCAGCCCAACCTTTATTGTTAAACCAAACCTGAAAAACAATTTGAAAAATGTGGAAATACATAAAATAAAAAAAAAATTAATACAAAGTATCATATTACACACACACACACACACTTTTTATCAGACAGTAGTGAGTCAAGGTTTACCTTTGCAATATTTCTAGTGATTAAACTACCAACAACACTTTCTAAATCTGTCCAAAATGAAGTTATATTAGCTGGTCGGTTAAAGGCAGCATGTGAAAGTCTGTTCATTAATTTTGACATCTGAGTTCGATTTAAGCGAGCTACAGGATTTAATTCACCAAAGCTGAGACCACCATATCTGTTTAAAAAAAATGGAACAAAGTTAAACCAATATAAATAATAATCAGTTTAATATATAAAAAAAAGTCATAAGGTTAAAAATAATACTTTGAAAAAGATTTATACTGGAAGAATTGTGTGTAAAAAAAAAACAGGGTGATTATCTCTATCTTCTTCATGTTGAAGTTAATATTTAAGATGCAATGAATTATTTTCTGTATTTAAATTTTGATTCTTAGCCATGCAGAATACTGCCTTGATAACTGCAATGTCAGTTCATGATTATGCAAGGTCAAAAGTTTAACTAAAACCACCAAAGGGTGATATTGAAAATTTCAGTGCTGATCTTCATCTGGTGCTATATGTCTGCTAATGACTAAATGAGGACAAGAATACAAAAGACTGAGGAATGAAGTTATAAATAAACAGAGAATAATATTTTTATATATGTGTGTGTATGTGTGTTTCATGAGCATGAATTAAGGCAAGAAAGAAAACTTTTCTTTACCGATGCATTTCATCTTCTGATGGACAAATAGACAAGTCAAATATAAGGATTTTCTTTTGCAAATGAGTATTTATAAACAGTAAGTAAAAATATCATTAGTTTGTCAAAATTTTTAATAATCCTCATAAATATAAAATGAAAACAGATAAATTCAAAACCTTGTGCTATTTAATATATATATATATATATATATATATATATATATATATATATAAAAAGGCTTAAACACTAATATTCCATGGTATAATAAAAAGGCCTGGACATTGAGTTCTACCTGGATTCTATCCTCTTAGAATTATTTTTTACATATATATATATATATATATATATATATATATATGTGTATGTATGTATGTATGAATATATATATTTATATATTTTAGATATATGATTGCATATGTATGTCTATATTTACCACTAATATTATCAATTATCTCTCTCTCTCTCTCTCTATATATATATATATATATATATATATATATATATATATATATATATATATGAACTAGTATAGAAACAATAGCATTAAAAAGTACTCAATACATGTATAAAGAAAAGAAAATAAATTAAAAATATAACATACATGCAGAACTTTTAAATTTAAAAAATATAGATCAACCAATCATGCTACCTAATTTATAATAAATACATTGATCTCTTTTTGTGAATCAGTTTTAATATTTTATATCATTAGGATCCACTTGAATTATATACCAATGGATTTATTACATATACTATATATATATATATATAATAATTATTTTTTTAAAAATATGTATTCATCGCAACACAGAAATTACTGTTTTGAAACTAAAACCTAAATCATAAATTAAACTTAAAATTTAAAGTTCAGTTCCATTTTCAAGCGATGCAGACTAACCTTAAAAATGATTTACTCTGTTTATAAGCCAAATAGTATTATATATTTTAAGTTTTTGGGGGGAATGAGAATTCAGAATTTTTTATTAAGTGGTTATTGGCATTTTTGACAAATGAAGATACAACTATATTTTTATGTGGCAAAGTGAAAATTGGTTATGGTTAAGTGGGCATTTGAAATTTCTGTATGTTGATACTGACTTCCTTTTATGCAAACATGTCATCACAGTCTGTTTTTTTGGGGGGTGTGGGGGTGGGGTTACACTACTATTCAGTTGGCAATTTCATTTATTTTCTTATTTTTTAAAACTACCTCGAGATTTTCTGAAAAAAAACAAATATGATTAAGTCACATTATTTATATTTTTATTTATAAAGATCTAAAATAATATATTTATTATATTTACTAATGAATTATATATGGTATTGTAAAATTAAAATATTAGAATTTAATTACACATGAATAAACTATTTTCTTTATGATAAAATAATAGATATATAATTATGCAAATTATTTTTATAATTAATTATTTTTAAGGAAAATATGAGACAATGTCTACAAGAAAACTGCTATTTCAATTCTTTGATTTAATAAATTTTTATCTTTCAGAAACTTAATAATATATAACTTTTCATGTAGACACAAAGAACATGGGTCATTTAAAGATCTACATGTTCTCATTTTTTTATTAGTTTCCATTTTAACTGTGGGTATTTTATTTGTTTCTTTTATATGCCAATCATGTTGAATCATTTAGTACACACACCATTCAACCAAATGGTTAGTAGTAACTTAGGATATAAATTTCTTGCTTTAACTGATAAACATTTTCCTAGAAATAATACTTAACAAAATTTTAATAAAAATACCCCAAAATTAAGTTACAGTTGTACTGAAAATTAAAAAAAAATTATAAAAAAAACATAATAAAATTCTAAGAAATAGTGATCCAGAAATAAGAACAATCATAAAGAAAAATTATGTAACTATAGGAATCCTGAAAATCGTTCTTTGAATAATAAATGTCTCGCAGAATCTGTAGTTTGCCAATGCACTATCTCATCTATTGAGAATCCTAATATTGTAAAATTTTATATTGGATCTAAGAAAAATGAATTTAAATTAAGATGGAGCCAACATGTGACTTCCTTCAATAATATTAAGTATCATAACCAAACATCCCTATCCAAATATTTTTGGCATCATCAGGTTCTACTGTGGTACATTGATTCAAGTGCCATGCTTGCTTTCTACTTTATTATTTATTTAAACTTGACTAATGATTGCTGATAGAGTGAGGTAAGGGATTAAACAGACATTTGTTTTAATATTATAATGGAGTAATCATAGCATAATGGTAGGTAAATAAAACTAATTAAAGGCAAATACTAGTAGAGAACAATAGAAAAATGACTATTACAGACAACACTAGCTCAAAAATTGAGAGCTATTGATAGTTAAATTTTTTTTTGTATGAGAGAAGTTTTCTCTAAGATTATTTTGTATTTTAAGAGTAAATAATTCATCTCACCGCTTTTTGAAAAACTGCATATTGGTCTTAAGAAGCCAATCACTGATATTTTGTCCTGTCATATTGTATATGATATCGGCAGTAGAAACAGTAAGCATAGGTGGGGAAGGTCCAACAGCACCTAAAAAGTAAAAAATTCACATAATTAATCTCACAGAAGGCATGGAGAAATCAAGTTGAGATCATTTTTATTTCCAAGGAGACAAAAAAATAATTGTATTAGATTAACAATGTTAGTTCTTAAATGTATATAATAAATTTTAATTTACAATTTTACAGAATATGTAAACTGAAAAATTAACTATTGACAAACAGGTAAGATTTTTTTCTGAGTGAATAAACAAAAATGAATAATTTGGCTGTAATAACTTTATAAAATTGCATATTCTTTCAATAAATCATCTCCTTAAGATGTAAAAGGAATATAATCATATTTTATTCTCATTATCATCAATAGATAAAAATCAATCTTTTAAACATAAAGTTCTAAAAGCACTTAAATTACCAGATTACAATTCATAAAATTTAACGTTGATATTTTCCATTAATTTTGAGCACTAATATTTTTAATAAAATCATTTTTAACAAAATAATTAAAGTAATTAAGATAATTTTATAATTGGTATTGACTCACCATCAGGACAAACTTGTACACCAGTTTCACATGAACAGTGAGATAAGTTTTTAGGTAATGGACCAAATTTTTTCCATTTACTATGCAATTGTTCACATGGGAAGTTTCTGAGGATTAACAAGATATTTTGGAAGTATATTATTTTATAATATTTTAAAGGAAAATGCAGCCAATCAGGGTTCATAAAGAAAAAACAGAGAAAAGGAGAATTGAAAGAAAAGAAATATTTTTGAAAAAGCAAAAAATATCAAAGTTTACTCTTTACTGAACATCTGAATTTGCTTTGTTAATTATTATCATATTGTAATTGTTCATGCTAATTAATGTTAAACAACTGTGCTAGGAATCATATATATATATATATATATATATATATATATATTTTATAAATTAATTGATTTAAAATATGGTTATTTTTTTACACAGTTCCAACCATGTTTCAAAAATAGAAGCTAAAAACCCCTAATTTTATTTTTTGCAAATAAATTAAAAGCATTAGTTCTATTTCATCTTCAAGCGAATTTTGGAGTAACTTTTAAAATTTACCGGGTTTTAAATACACAGCTAAAATCACGTTTCCATGGTTACAGAATATTCTACTCAAATTGAACACGGGGTGTCTAGATTTTCCTTATGACAGTATCATTGTATCAGTTATTAGCTACATTTTGGTAAGGGGTGAGGATGTATTTTACACTGAAACCTGACGTCAGTTGAATGGATGTCGTCTGAATTTAAAAAAAAAAAAAAAAAAAAAAAAAAATTGTTAACGGTAAAAATTTTCAACGTCATCTTTTAAAATTAAAGATTTTTTTTTTCAATACTTTTTATTTAACTACGATTTGAAATATTTTCCTTTTTAATTTTATTTTACTATATTCTTTTTAGAACAGTTAAATGTATTAGAATCCATTATATTATGTAGGATTATTTTAACATTAAGTTTAAGTATGTATATGAGGTTACATTTTTTTTTTTTTTTTTTTTTTTTTTTTATATGACTATGACAGCAGAAATGGTTACTTAATTTCACTGATTCAGTAAACTTTTCTTTTATATATAAACCTATTATTATAATATTTCACATGTAAGTACTGAGGACATGGGTCATTCAAAAATAAGCTTACATGTTATGGTATTTCATATTAATTTTATTTTACTATAGGTGTTATTTTTGGATTCTTTTTTAATGCGTGTAGTATTATTTAAAAAAATTTTTAGGTTAAATTCATTCAATTTAACTACAATTTTAATTACAAATTCAAAATTACAACTTTAAAATTTTAAAATATTTTCATTGTTTAGTTTTAATAGACTATATTACTTTATAACAGAAGGAAAATTACTCATATTAAGTAAGATTATTTTTCCATATCAAAGTATATGTAAATTTTTTTTTTTTTTTTTTTTTTTTATTTTGTACATTAATACAATTTGATATCGATAATTATTACCAATCGATTTCCAAAGAACTATTTTTCAATTTTGGACTTTTTTTTACCCACTTTACGGATATTACAGAAGAAGAAAGGAACATTATTCTGTTAGCAAAAAAATCAGTACTTATACATAAAATAGGAATGGGTTAAGAATTTTATTTTAAATTTGATATCACAATGGGATCACTAGACTCAGCTGAGTCTTCTGATCTCATTTCCTTTTATATTATACAATCTTACAGCACACTATGAAATTAATAAAGATGATATTGGTTTGTACAGGGACGATGGGCTAATGGTCATTAGAAACTCAACGAACTTCAAAATAGATAGAATTAGAAAGTTATTATATAAAGAATTTAAAAGCATGGGCTTAAAAATTACAGTTAGTACTAAATTAAAAAATAAGTAGACTTCCTAGATATAACTTTAGATCTAAATAAAAAAAACATACACACCTTATAAAAAAAACCCAACACCAATCCTTTATATATACATCCTAAATCAAATCACCCCCATCTATAATTAAACATATACCGTTATCTATAAGTAAACGAATTAGTACAAATTCAGCTAATAACAAGATTTTTGATGAGCATATCAATGGCTATAATAAGGCTCTAAAAGATAGTGGCTACAAAAACCCAAAACTAGCGTATATAAAAAATGAAAATGGAAAACATAGAAAAAAAATATATGTAGAAAATTATTTGGTATACTCCCCATATAACCAAATGGTAAAGAACAGATTAGGACATAAATTCCTCACATTAATAGTCAAGCATTTTTTTTGTGAAAATAAAAAATTAAGTACTATTTTCAATAAAAACACACTAAAAATTAAGTTATAGCTGTACAAAGAACTTAGAAAAAATCATTAAGAACCATAATGCTAATATCTTAAATAAACACTTATACCAAAACCAAAAAAATTTAGACAATAGAAAATTAAGATAAAAAACTGATGTAAATAAACAAAAAACTATGTAATTGTCGAAACCCTCAAAATTGCCCACTACAAAATAAATGTTGCACTGAATCATTAGTATACCAATGCAATATCTCTTTCGATTGAAAATCCTGATAACATAAAAATATATATAGGTTGCACTAGCCATGAATTCAAAAAAAAGATTCAACCAACATCAAACTTCATTTAGAATAAATAAATATAAAAATCAAACATCTCTCTCAAAATATTTCTGGCATCTAAAAGAATCAAATAAAACACCTACAGTAAAATGGAAGTTAATAAGAAGAGCTAGAATTTGTAGATCATTAAACGACCCGTGTCCTCTATGTATACAAGAGAAACTATATATTACTAAGTTTATAAAAAATAAAAATTTACTGAATCAGAGAAATGAAATAGCTATTATATGCCGTCATTGTCAAAAATTTTCCTTAAATAATATATAAAAAAAAAAAAAAAAAAAAAAAAAAAAAAAAAAAGTCTATTGGAATGGCAGGAAAAATGTTTTAAACTGTTATTTAAAATTGTGGTTAAAACGTATTAAAACATAAACACCGTTTAAAAAAATTGTAGTTAAATAAAATGTATCCTAACCGAAACACCTCTATAATAAAAATACTACTAAAACACTTGAATGAATCCGATAAAACACCTCCTGAAAAAATGAAATTATAACTAAAGCTAGATGATGTAAGGTAATGTATGACCCATTGTTCTTTGTACATACATATGAAACTTTATTACTCAGGTTACATATATTTAAAATAAATAATTTAATTAATTAATACATAAAGTTTACTAAATCTGAGAAATGACTTAGATAGTTTTGTAGTCTGTGCCATTTATATTACTTAAATATTTAAATATAATAGTTTAAAAATTGTAATTTACATATACTTTGTTATGGAAAATAATTATACTTACTATGAGTAATTATCCTTCTGTTATAAAGTAATATAGTCAATTAAAACTAACAATGAAAATATTTTAAAATTTTAATGTGGTAATTTTAAAATTGTAATTAAAATTGTAGTTAAATAAAATGAATTCTAACCTGTTCTTGGTACATACATATGAAACTTTACTACTTAGGTTACATATATTTAAAATAAATAAATAAATTAAGTAATAAATAAAGTTTACTAAATCCGAGAAATGACTTGGCTAATTTTGTAGTAAGTTCCATTAATATTACTAAAATAATATTTTAAAATATAAAGGTTTAAAAATTGTAATTTACATATACTTGGATATTGAAAAATAATTTTACTTACTATGAGTAATATTCCTTCTGTTATAAAGTAATATAGTCTAATATAACTAACAATGAAAATATTTCAAAAGTTTAAAGTTTGTAATTTTAAAATTGAAACTAAAATTAAAGTTAAATTGAATGAATTCTAACCTAAGTTTTTTTTAAATAATACTACACGCACTAAAAAAGAATCCCAAAAAAAATAAATATAGTAAAATAAAATTAATATGAAATGCCATAAGATGTAAGCTTTTGAATGACCCATGTCCTTTGTACTTACATGAGAAACATTATATCACTAGGTTTATATATATATAAAAAAAAAAAAAAAAAAAAAAAAAAATAACCTCATATACATACTTAAACTTGAATTAATACATAAAGTTTACTAATTCTGAGAAATGACTTAGATAGTTTTGTAGTCTGGGCCATTAATATTACTTAAATAATATCTAAATTAAAAGTTTAAAAATTGTAATTTACATATACTTTGATAGGAAAAAAAAATTTTACTTACTATGAGTAATTATCCTTCTGTTATAAAGTAATATAGTCTAAATTAAAACTAACAATGAAAATATTTTAAAATTTTAAAGTTATAATTTTAAAATTTTAAAATTGAAATTAAAATTGTAGTAAAATAAAATGAATTCTAACATGTTATTTATACATACATATGAAACTTTATTAATTAGGTTACATATATTTGAAATAAATAAATTAATTAATTAATAAATAAATAAAGTTTACTAAATCTGAGAAATGACTTAGCTAGTTTTGTAGTAAGTGCCATTAATATTACTTAAATAATATTTAAATTTAAAGAGAAGAAAAAAAAAAAAAAAAAAAAAAAAAAAAAAAAAAAATACATATACTTTGATATGGAAAAATAATCTTACTTAATATGAGTAATTTTCCTTCTGTTATAAAGTAATATAGTCTATTAAAACTAAACAATGAAAATATTTTAAAATTTTAAAGTTGTAATTTTGAATTTGTAATTAAAATTGTAGTTAAATTGAATGAATTCTAACCTAAATTTCTTTTAAAAATAATACTACACGCATTAAAAAGAATCCAAAAATAACACCTATAGTAAAATAAAATTAATATGAAATACCATAACATGTAAGCTTTTGAATGACCCATGTCCTCAGTACTTACATGTGAAATATTATAATAATAGGTTTATATATAAAAGAAAAGTTTACTGAATCAGTGAAATTAAGTAACCATTTCTGCTGTCATAGTCATATACAAAAAAAAAAAAAAAAAAAAAAAAAAATGTAACCTCATATACATACTTAAACTTAATGTTAAAATAATCCTACATAATATAATGGATTCTAATACATTTAACTGTTCTTAAAAAGAATATAGTAAAAAAAAAAAAAAAAGGAAAATATTTCAAATCGTAGTTAAATAAAAAGTATTGTAAAA